TTTTTCACTGAATGGCTAAGCTTCTTGTCAAATACCAGTTGACTACCTTGTCTGGATTTGCTTCTTCTGTCTCTGTTCTGTTCCATTGATCTAGATACCAGTCCTCTTATAAATAACACACTGCCAGAATTACTATAATTGTTTAGACAGTGTCGAATTTGGGTAGTGTCAACCCAGCATCACTCTCATTTCTGAGTATGGTATTAGAATTCTGAGTCCTTACCTTTCCACATAAACAGTAGAATCATGTTGTTGATCATCAACATTATACAGTGGAATTTTGGTAGAGATTGCTCAGGTATCAAGTTAGGAAGAATTGATATGTTAAAATTATTGACTTAAACAAAGCTGGGCATGGTGGCGAATGCCTATAATCCCAGCACTCAGGAGGCTGAGGCAGGAGGATCACTGTGAGTTCGATACCAGCCTGGGCTACACAGTGAGTTCCAGATGAGTCTCAACTACATAGTGAGACTCTGTCTCAAAAAACCAAAAAAAAAAAATTCTTAAACAAGAAACATCTCTTCTTTTTTAGGACTTTTTAATTACTTTTTCAGTTTTATAGTTTAATGCAAATAGATATTGTACATACATTATTAGATTTATGCCTGGATATTTTTCTTTCTTTTGGTGACAATATAAATGATATTCAATTTAAATTTCTCTATCCAATCATCTATTGCTGGTATAAAAGAAAAATGCGACTATAATATACTAAGCTTTTATTCTGTAACTTTACTGTAGTCATTTATGAGTTTCAGGAGTTTTACCTTGTTGTGTTTCTTATGCTTGACATCAATTTTAGAATTTTTCACAGATTGTCTTGGCATCCATAAACAGGATTCTATTCCTTCCTTATTTTGTATTAAGAATAAACTTTTAAATTATTTTTCTGTAAAGCAGCACAGCCTAATCAATATATTGCTTTATCTCAGCAACTTTCATTGTAAAGGTAATATAAACTGACACAATAATAAGACACATCACAATGGGTAAAGTTAGCAGAACTGACAGTATCAATATATTCACATGTGTGAAACAGAACTTTCATACACTGCTATTAAGAGAATAAAATTTCAAATGTATTTTGAAAAAAATAGGAATATTCTGATTAAGTTGCATATGCTTGTAGCCTCTGCTATAGAAATTACAATACACACACACACAAAGAGAAAGAAACAAAGAAAGAGAGCAAGATATGAAATTACTATATAACTCTAAAACAAAATCTTATATATTAATGTTTCTTGAAATTTTATTCCTAATAGTAAAGTTTGCAATGATAAAAAGATAGAGAATTCAGTGAGCATACATTCAATGGAATAATTCACAGGAAGCAATGTTCTGCTACATTCACTGACATGGTTGAAACTCAAATCAGCATTATGTTAAACAAAAGAAGCCAAATACAAAAAGAATTAAAAATAAAGAATATATTTTATTAATAATATTAAGGGTAGAAAACTCATTAACAGATATCAGAACAGTTGTAATGAAGGTGGCTATTGTCTGGTAAAGAATAAAGTACACACTTAACTTTAAACCAACTTAGAATCCATATCATTTTTTCAAATAAGAACCTCTCCAATTTGCAAAAGATTATGCATTATTGGAATAATCCCATCGCAATTTAGATTCCATTAAAAGCCTATGTAAGCTAGAAATAGATAGAAGTATATCTATCCTGCAGAGCGAGCAGTTGAGGCTTAACCTAAAGATATATTGCCATGATTCTTGGACTGAAAGTGGTGCTCTACCTGAAAGGCAAACTTCACCAAAAATGCCAGGTCCTCTTGTTCATAGTCAGCTCTGTTCCCTTTGCCATTGAGTGCTATCCCGCTGTCAGGTATCTATGTTTATTAAAGTAATAAATGACTTTATTAAAATATGTGCTTCAGGGCTGGGGATTTAGCTCAGTGGTTCTGCCGCCTGCCTTGCAAGCGCAAGGACCAGAGTTTGAGCCCCAGTACCAAAAAAAAAAAAGTTATAGCTAAAATACGTGCTTCAAAATGAAATTCAAACCAAATAGTGTTAAGTACTCATCCTTACCAGGCTCTTTTGAATATAAACAAAAGAGTAGAAGTAAACACTATAAACATTCAGACTCAGAGGAGTAAAATTTTAAACAAATTATAATAAATATAGTCTCTTTGAGAAATCTTGATCAGATTGAAGACGTCTTGAGATGTCTGTTATGATTTAGATCTATGGAGAAAGGCCTGGTCGGAAAAGAAAGGTCACTGAGGGCGTGACCTGGAAGGTTGCGTTCTTGTCCCAGGCTCCTCCATTTGTTTTCTGCTTCGCAGCTGCCATAATAAGAGCAACTTCGCTCTACCGAGCCTTTCACCTTGCTGCTTCCACCTAGGAGTTCAATGACCACAGACTAAACCAACGGAAACTGTGAGCCAAATTAGACATCTCCTTCTTAAAACTGTGAATGTTGGGTATTTTGTCCCTCTGACAGGAAAACTACCAATATCCTATCAGTTTCTAGATAGGATAGTTTCTAGGCTATTCTTAAAGACCACTGTTTCAGAATCTTTTGAATATCATTATATCTTTGTGTAGAAATAAACATTATAGTGATAATAAACCATCATTCCCTGACTAGAATCCATGAAGTGACATAGGCACCAAACTTATTTGATGTACTAACTGATGAACAACAGATATCTTATGTTATGAGTAACATACAGAGAAGAATAATTTATAGAGCACAATTTCCTATTATTTTGATTATAAATGATGTTTTAGTTGCTCTAAATGTTGGCATAATATCTAATAAGCTTGCACTCTTACAGAAATGTAGCAAATGGAGGTGTCTTACTAGAAAGACTTAAACCGATCTCCTCAGTCTCATCTTTCCAGAAAAAAGTGCACTGTTATAAAAAGATTGATATGAAATATTTCCTTATAGCTAACCCTGTTTGTCATACTTTAAAATAAGACTTTTACAGATATATGCATTTGAGAAAAAAATGCCATGCAGGTCATTTCTCTATTATAGGCATCTGGGTCCTGGACATCATTTACTTACAGTGCCTACTTTGGGGCTTATTCTGAAAAAGTTGCTTGAACTCATCTCTGTTCCTTCATGATTCTTATATCTTTTTTGTTTGCATTTTTTTACATGATGTATAATAGGTTCAAAAACTGTTGTTATCTCTCTGGTATTAGGCAAGCAACACATTCCCTCACTGAGAGAGCTAGAATGTCCCCTGAAGAAGGACAATTAAAAAATATGAGAAAAGAAAGAATAAAAAGAAGTAAAGCTTTTGTAAAGAGAGAGCAGTGGAAGAGTGGGAGGAGATATATGAAAAAACAAGAACAAAGATATATCATATACAAGTATAAATTCCCAATGATGAATATGATTATAACATATACCTAAAATGCACCAATTAAATTAAAAATTTTTTTAAAAGTAAGAAATGCCAAAAAATGATGTCTTACAAGATGGTTCTGCTAAATGCTTGTAAAAGATAAAATGGATGGAAGCAAGAGTCACTTTTGAAGGCCTCAGACCATGATGAAATTCTGACACCTAGAAAAAGAGAGGTAAAAGAATTGACTGGGTAGGAAAATCTCAGACTGCAGTGTAGGTATAAAAAGTCTTGATGAGGATGATATGAGGTCTTGAAGCAAAGATTTCCTACCAAAAAAAAAAAAAATAAGATGCATGTTAGGTAGAAATCCATCAGTACTAGTTCTTCCCACACAAACTGATCGGGCATTGGTGGCTACAATTTTTAATAAGCTGCCCTCTGTCTGAGCACCGTGGTGCACTCGAGGAGCATGGGCTACAGAAGTCCAGGAAAAAAATGGTTTTCTTAATGGAGGGGATAAGATTTTCTAATGCTGCCCCAGTGAACTTTCAAAAAGTAAATTAAGCCCCAAATTTTTGTGGATTTCTCATTCTTATTATTGTATTTCAATAATTATTAGTTACAACAGTAAATAGCAAAGGGCTATGAAAACATACTTTCATTCAACAAAGGTTTAATAATCTCAAAGCTGTCTATAGTTTTAAATATACAGGTGGTAAAAACAAGGGAGAAGTTGAGAAAATTCAGCAAAAAGCATCTATGTTCAATATGTTTTACGACTTATGACACAAAGTTAAACCACAAGATATTTGTAAATATACAGTCCATTATTGTTAATAAACTTCATTGCATAAATAGTACTGGCTGAAATATTTCTACTGCCCTAATGTACAATGTTTTCCTATTGATAATGAAAATAAGAGCTATAATAACTATACGCTCCTTTTCAAAATATTGGGTGCCATTTTAGATTTGACAGTTACAGTGTAAACAATAATACTCTGTTACTGGAACCTTGGGAACACAGGCCTTATTTCCCTAATCATCTTCTTGTATGCTGCCTATAACAATAAGAGGCAGAGGTGTAAATATTCCGGGCAATAATAAATGGGATGTTTCAGATTCTCAGAAGTGTGAGGCCCATGGTGCAAATATTATTATTCTCAAAGTAAACAAGAAAGGTAGAATATGAACATAGGCATGTGAGAAATACAGAAAAGGATCAAATTAGGAGAAACTGGTTCTGCTTCAAACTTTATGGAATTTTAATGGGTTTTCATCAAATCCTGTTGCCTCTACCAGTACCAATAATGAAATATATAAAAATTATTTCACATATTTATCACTTCTCTATTTAGATAAGAAAGAAAAATTTTCCACTTTTTTCTATCTTAAGAATAACCATGCAAAGGGGTATTAAACAATTGTGTACATCACTGGTGTATGTATTCACTGTTAGCATGCTATTGGTTGTTCAGAAAATTTGGTAGAAATGCAGATCATACAGAAACAAACAAAAAAAATAAGATCATCCATACAGAAAATGGTAAGACAAATCTATAATCCATGCAAAACTATCTGTAAGATTACCATGGTATGAATAAAACCTCATCACTAAAAACAGCAATATACAGTTAATGTCCTTTGATTTTCTTACCTTATTACTGCTTCTAATTAGAATATGTCTCTGTTCTCAATTTTAATCTTAACTTTAGTCAGTGCAACTTTCACATCCTTGTTTCTCAAACTGTAGATCAGAGGATTGAGCATAGGCCCCACATTAGTATAGAAAACAGAAGAAATTTTTCCCTCCTCCATAGATCCAGGAGAAGAATATTTAAGATACATGAATGCTGCTGATCCAAAAAACAGAGAAATGGCCATGATGTGAGAGCTACAGGTACTGAAGGCTTTGGATCTTCCTTGCACAGATCTGATGTGCAGAATATTTGTGATGATGAAAACGTATGAAATTAGGATGGTGAAACTGGGGACTGTGATATTAATACCCACTACAATGAGCACTACCACCTTATTGACATAGGTGCTGGTGCAAGAGAGTTGGAGAAGCGGGAGGATGTCACACAAGTAATGGTTGATGACATTGGCATTGCAGAAGGTTAGTCTAAGCATGCAGCCCGTGTGGGCACTGGATCCAGCAAAGCCCATGGCATAGGCAGCAAGAGATAGCCCAGAACAGACCTGCTGAGACATGCTGATTTTGTACAGCAGTGGGTTGCAGATGGCCACATAGCGATCATAAGCCATTGCAGTCAACATGTAGCACTCAGAAATGACAAAGAAGAGAAAGAAAAACAGCTGAGTCATGCAGCCTGCATAGGAGATGACATTCTTCTTGGAGACAAAGTTCATCAGCATTTTGGGAGTGAAAACAGAAGAGTAACAGAGATCAATGGAAGAGAGGTTGAAGAGGAAATAGTACATGGGGGTGTGGAGGTGAGGATTGAGAATAATCAGAATGACCAAACCTAAGTTGCCCACCAGCGTGACAATGTAGATCATCAGAAACAGGTAAAAGAGGGGTAGCTGAAGCTCTGGATGATCTGTTAGTCCACCAAGAAGAAACTCAGTCACCAAGGATCCATTTCCAGAAAGCGTTGTCATTGTTAGAAATCTAACAGAACAGAGGAAAGTTTGTTAATAAAGCACCCAGCTCTTCTTCAAACTCTCATTCATGGGAAGAGGATTGACAAAATTTGAGTAAATTATCCTATAATCTATAGCTGCTGACTGTATTACCACACAATCCTCTTCAACATTCGTATGACCAAAAAGTAAGAAAATATTCCTGTAAGAGAAAGGCTGTGCTCTTATTCTACTTCTTAGAAGGAAGATCATGACAGGTTTTTCTTTTTTAGAAATTCCTATTATTTTACTAGAAAAGTCCATAACATCAATTATATACATGGAAGAGATCTGTGGAAATTTGAGATTAACTATATAAATTTGATAATTAACTATATATCCCAGTGTCACAACATACTCTGCTGTATTCCATTCTAGCTAGACCGAGGATAAAGATTAGGGGGGTGTGCTTGCAATGATTCATTGTGATGACAGGAAAGAAAATAACAATATGACCACTGATTGTATAAGTGGTAAGTTTGAAAAAATTGACAAGCTTTATTTCTATTATATCCAAGTTCCTCTAAATGTAATATGTTTTAAAGCAAAAGACAAATTTCTCCTTTTGATGCTGCTGTGTTCTTCATCTGTAGCCTGAAGCTACTGTAGTTATCTCCGCATCAGTCTAAGACTGAAGCCAACACACCAAGGTTAAGAAGAGGGAAATGGAGACAGTACAGTCAGAGCCCCATGCTGCTGAGTTCCTTTTCTTGGATGCAGTAGTTATCCTCACTTTTCAGCCACATGGAGAGTGAGAAAAATAAATGGAGATTTGATGGATTAAGTCACTCTCCTTTCTCCCAGAGAGTTGACTGCGAACTCTTTCGGTGCACTTGCCACCCCTGTTCTGAGGAGGAACTGGCTTCAGAGTTAAAAGAACTGACCAGGTGCAGTGACAGTCTTCTTCCTTGACAAGCAATAGGGTCTTCCCACAGATCTCACAAGTTAAATGTCCCAGGAGCCATTCTAAGGTGTATATCAAACTTCTAGTTATACATTTTCCAAAAGGATGTGGAAAGAAAAGCACAGACTTGACAGCGGAGCTGTTATGTCACAGAGCATGTAACATAGGCTTCAGTTTTAAAGTTCTTTTAGAAGTAGGTGTCTCCTAGGAGCTTGCCATCATGATAAACTAGGGAAGGAAGACTTCATGGCATCTGTGTTAACACAATAATTCATGATAAAAAATGTGAACTTCCCCAGAGGGATTTTACAGCCTCCAAGGATACATGAAATGTCCCTCTGTTGTTATTCATAAAGATATAAATATAATTAACATCATTAATTATAATTATAGGTACCCTATTAGTTTTTGTAAAAACTTATGTATCATTTAGTAAAGCTTTTTGTTATGCTTATTTTTAATATTGTACATCCCTTTAAATAATCAGTATTTGAACAAGGTACATTTTATTTTCATTTTAAAATAGACTTTTATTCCCACTATTTTTTAATTTTAAAAAAGTGTGCACAGAAACAAAATCCTTTATTTCATGAGAGTATAATTTCTGGTTCTTGTGACTCAATATATTTTTCCCCATAGTAAACTAAAATCAAATCTGCAAGAAAAAAATATCACTCATCACGGGCTAACATTTCAAGAAAACATAATTTATAATTCTCCCGTGTATGTGATAATGCATTTGTCCTTGTGACAAAGCATCTATTTTTACTTATTTTGCAAAAAATCTCTTATCAATATACAAATTCACCTCAACTCTTCACCCAACTTCTACCCACAGTGTCATCTTTCAACTCTTTAGGACAACAACAAAACTAAAAAATTGACTTTGGTATAGTAATGTTAAGTAGACCAGCTATTCACCTCCAACCAGTGAAGATGCACAGTGTGTGCCTATGTGGATATACACATAAATCTTTGCAATTCAATCCTATGTATATATTTGAACTCGGGCAAACTTTTCAACAATCAGGATAAAGCTGTGTTCCACCACCAGGAATGAACTCTGATATAAATCTCTGCATAGTCATAGCTATCCCCATCCATTTTTCATCTGCATCCTTTGATTATCAATAACCTGCTCTTCACAGTTTGGTCATGTCTGAGGATGATGAATGGACTCATACAAATGTAATATTGAAAATTTTTTTCATTCAATGTGAGACCTCTCAGGTGCATCCAAGTTATGTATAATTATTTTCTCTTTAATTGCTGAGTAGTTTTCCATTTATAACAGTCCAAGTTTATTCAATCTTCAATAGTAATTTTAAGCATAACAAGTGGGCCAGGCATTTAGCTCAGTGGCTTTACTGCCTGCATCCCAAGTGAAAGGTCCAGAATTTGATCCCCGGTACCAATAAATAAATAAATAAGAGTAATAAGTCCTTGTTTTGACATAAAATTTATTTGTTTCATTTATCAAAAATATTTCAAGACGGAGGACTTGAGGTTCAGAATGAAGACTGATTTTCTAGAAACTGTCTTTTAAGTTAAGAGGGTCTCCTCTCTCCTTCAAGAATAAAGACCAAACATGCAGATTTGCTAGGTCTTATGATCTGACAAAGGCAAGTGAACACAGAGTATGTTTCATCATTACTCTTTGTGAACATGTACAACATCCTCATGATCAGTCAGGAAAAGGCACTTGGGAATAAAAAGCAGATATACACAATGGAAATCTGTGGCTATTTTTAGTGGGCCACTCCACTCAACAACCATCTCCTCCACCCAGCTTGGGTGCCACAGAAGTCATGCAAAACAGCATGAAGCCAATTACACATCAATTAAAAAAATAAAACTGAGGTTGTATTTGATTTATGTAACCAAAATAAACATATTCAGTTAAAAAAGTACCTAAGGGACAGGTACTGCTAAACAAGAGTGAAAAGAGAAAAGTAAAATATCCACCTTCAAGAAGTTTCAAAAGTTTTCAGAAAAAAAAATGGATGATAGCAATCTTATTATTTTGTATTTTCTACAACTCCACAGTCTACACTGTTTTATTTCACACTAAATTTTTTTAAGTGTTCATGTAAATAAGATACATTTTTAGTCATTTTACAGAGAAATTGTCTCAGTCTCACAAAAGGCATAGCTTCCTCACTGAGAACAAACTAAAGCTAGAGTCTTTCTTCAAATATCTCATTCTTTTAACAACACTCATCTCTAGGACAAAGAAATATGTATTATTGAAAGAAACAAGTTATCATAAATAACAGTTTTAGAAATGGATATTTTCTCTTCCTTTATAAACTAGTGTTCTAATACTCCTTGAAACATAATAGGATACTGAAAATATTATCTAGAAAATACTGTTATATTTTGAGTATCAATAATTATTACAGCATCCTGAAAGAAAACATCAGGTTTATGAATCAATATATATTTTATTATTTTAATCAGTAACTCTTTCCTTTTGCCTTGCCCTGATCCTTCCAGGGTGATCTGCTAATAACCAGATGGAGAGGTCTTCCTACATGGGTAGGGGTGAAACATCGGAGAAGAGCCCTGGAATTATAAACCTGGCACTTTACGGAAGATGCTTCCTCAGCATCTCCTCTCTCTCTCCCAGAAAGAGAGAGGAACAGAAGTGTACCTCACAAAGGTAAACACATATATGTAACCTAGAGAAAAACTAAATAAACTCTTTACATTCACTTGCTTTTAGTCAACTGTAAAATCCATTAATTTTGGAGATTCATGGGATAGAAATGTATCATTAGTCTTCCACTAGTTTAGCTGTAGATATACTTCTGATGTATGTCAAATGAGTGATGAGAGTTACAAAGTTTGCTTTTCAGGGACTTGAAGGCCACTTTTTTCAAAAGCACTGACTTTTTTTTTTTAATTTTATTGAGTTTATTGGTACATTTTAGGGATACAGTACAGTTATTGTATATGTTTGACAGGTGACTAATATGTGGCAAAAAAACCTGGCATCTCTGCATTCATATGCACCAGTCTTATTTCCTACTTTGACTTCAGGGTCAGATTTTTTTCTGCTCAGTGTTGTGTACAGATATCCTAGACGCTTAGGGAATGTCTGTTGAGAACAGATACCACTAACGTCTATAGGTCTGACAGGTAAACCACCAAATTTGATGTTACCATGTTAGCATTAAATTAGAAGTTAGACTACATATGCAGCTTCTTTCTCCTAATTCTGGACTGTATAATATAGTCTGAATATGTCAAAATAGTTTTATCTCTTGGATGAAGTAAGATTTTTATTAAAGGAAGTGTTAAAAATTATCCCCTTTTTCTTAGAAATATTAGAATATTGAGCTTCTTTATTAATCATTCTCTTGTAATTAATACATAAATTTTATAAAATCCACAAAGGTTTCTCATCTTTAAAAAAGTCTTTTGTCAACTTAAAATCTGAGTAGATGCTTCAAAAATTTATTTTCTTTTAAAGGGTTTGGAGACTTCAAGTTGTTCCAATCCTCCAAGGGGATCAAGCTGTCTCAGATAAAAGACTTGCTCATGAAAAAAACTGACTTTTTATTAGAAGAGGAGTTCAAAGGTTTCCAACACACAAAAAGAGAAATGTTCCAGGAGATGGGAATGGCAATTATCTACTCATTAGTACATTGACAAAGAAATTAAAACTTCATAAGAATGAGGTCACAAAATTGTTTAACCCAGAGGAAACATGAGACAGGAAATCACTGTCACCTAGATCATTCTGAGATCCCACAGCAGGTTCTGGCAACTTCTTGATGTCATTGATATAATAAACACAATATAAGCATTGTCCTGCTTAATCATAAATCTGACCTGGAGTGTATAAAATAAATGACAAAGGAACAATAAACATCCCATTATATTCTTGTTGGCCCCTATGATTGTAACCAGTGTATAGTAAATAGTATAATAACCGTCTTGCTCTGATTTTAATTCATAAAAACAGACCATTTGGAAGCCATTGCAAGAGAACTTATTCTAAGCAATTAGAAATTGTTTAGTCCCTGGAGGGAAAACTCTCATTTGGGCTTAAATAATCTCTTTATTCTTACATTTGGTGAATCAATTTGCTTCTCAGATTAATAAATGTCTGTTGTCATCCGCTGCTTGGTCTGCAGAGTTCAGTTCGGGAGCTCGGACTGGGAGGGTAAGGTGCAGAACTCTGGGGAGACTCTGGGGAGACACCAGGCAGACTCTGGGGAGGTTTCTGGAACGCTTCCACTTTATTTAGGAAAGGCACAGGCTTATATAGCTTACATGTGGACAACCATGGGGGAGGAGAGTGGGAGGAGTATTTATCTTATTGGCTAGACATATGGTGGGGTGATTCTTTTCTTGGGCGGGGCGAAGGAATCGCGGACTAGGGGCAGAGGTGTAACCTGTTAGACCCAGCATCTATGCAGTTAGGCAGGTTTGCTCAGCCCTAGATTTATGGTTATTTCCTGGATGGTCATTCTTATGTTGGTTCAATGAACATCATTTTCACATTCGCTATATTTCAATTTACCTTTTTTAGGTTGAAAATATGTATCAAATTATCAGACTGTGCCTCACAAATGTGTACAATTATTATGTATCAGTTTTAAAAAGAAAGAAAAAAATCTATTTATATAAAAGTAAAAGTTTTAGATTTTTGTTTCTGTATTAATTATGTTGTTTGTTTGTTTCTTTGTTTGTTTTGCTTGCTTTGGGGTTTTGTTTTCTTATTTTCCCAGTCAGAGATGCTGGGTCTAGGACTCTGACATGTGACTTTATAGGAATATAAGTAAGCCTTTAACAACCATCATTCATCAAAAATGTATACATAATATGGAGATTCACCAAAACGTTAATATCAAAATGTGTAAGAAATGATATCATCTTTTGTGTTCCTGAAACTGTACAGTAACAAGATAGACACTTGTTTCTTGGAATTTCTATTTTATACTTAATAAAAGAACTTCTTAGAAACATCATTCCTGTATTATAGAATGTTCAACAGTTTATTTTCTCTTCAAGTATATGGCTTTTAACATGATAGTCATTTTTCTCATGTGTCTCAGATGAAATGTATGGCCCAACTTCAGCTTCTTACAGGTATCTTGCTTTCTGTCTTATTGTTCTTCTCTATTGAATGAATGATTGAGTGCATGAATGAATGAATTATAAAATTGTGACTTTCCCCTAATAGGTGTATTTTCTTAAGGATGTAATTCAGTAGTAGAGGCTTCACTAGCATGGGTGAAGGCCTGGGTTTGCTCCTTAATACCTGAAATATGCATATTTTTATTTGTTTCTAAATTTGTACTGATATATTCTCCATATTCTCCTGCATATGGATAACTTTACACTTCAATGTGATATTATATTTTTTAGTTGAAGTTATACCTACAAAAGTGTAAATTTATATCATCTGCATTAAATAAATATGCCCTTGTACCCTAAGTAACATTTTGGCCATTGTTTTAAGATGGTGATATATAGTATATTATTATTATTCTCTAATTATTTGGGCATGAAATTTTGTTTTATTTTTATAGAAGTAAGAATAATTTTATACTTTATTAACATTTACTCATATTACATTAAAATAAATATGCATATGTAAATGTTGTGTATGTGAAAGAAATATGTATTTTTATATATGTATGAATCTTAATATCTCTTGATACAATCTTTAAAACACCAAAAGTATATAACACTTTTAAAATATATGTCATCTAATTTCCTCTGCACCAAAACACTTTGAAATATAAGTCATGCAGAAACTAAGGCTGAGAGAACATAAAATACAAATATTCATCTGGAACCAAACCAGATCATAAAATTCTAAGTCCAGTGGTCTCTCCACATTAGTACATTTTTATTGAAAGAATGAGGAAAATTCAAGGGTACTTCTGCCTAATTCATGTCCTTGTTTTACTTGAAAATAAATTCTTTTTCCCTCAGACATCCAATATTATAAAAGAAACATCATCCCTCTTGCAGGATATGGCAATTTGTTGTTATTTAAAATACATTGTTTCACAAATTTCACTATAAATTATTTATGGAGCCCTCAACGTTTCTCATAGATCAGTTGTAAATGTGCATAAATAGAACTTCAAAATAGTAAAGAAGAAAGCTAAAACCCTTTGTATGATGAATATCAGAGATTTTTTTATTTGCTCTAAAAACATCCACTCTTTTTCCTTTTGAAGCTTTAATGCATCAGGCCCACTTCCCAATATTTTAACTATGTACTGTATACATCTTCTAATGTTTACTCTTCTTTTATTATGTTGTAGTCACCATGACATGTTTTTCATATTTCATCAAGACTGTTCTCCCTTTGGAAAATTGCCCTTGCTCTTCCCTCTGTCTAGAATGCTCCCATGTGACAGTCTCCCCTCAACAGTAAGACCTCAGTTCCAGGACAATTCTTCAGAAAAGTCCTCTGTTAACATCAAATCCAAAGTAAGAGCAAAGTAAGAAATTATTCTATCTTTGGCTTAATTTATGACTTTCTATAGGATTTTTCTGGTATACATGTTTATTTGCTTGTTATCTCTCTTTGTCATGCGCACCTCCACATTACTGCAAACAATAAATTCTCTGAGAGTACAGACATTTTCTATCTTCATTTTTATGTTTTTGTCCTTTAACTGACCCTGGATATTTTGATGTCAAAATTACTTGACTTGCTGATAAATAAAGTACATTATTTGAACTATGTGAAACTCTGAAACAAATGAGACTGAAGATTTCAAATGAAAGGAGTTGCAAATGAATTGACTGTACAATATATTTATAAAAGGACCAAAAGGCTTGTACTTAATTATCAATATACATTTCAGTTAAACTTCTTCCCAGTGAAGACACGGCATCTTTCTCATACCCACACTTCTCCCAAGTGCAAGAAGAGAACTCAGGGGAGGTTCCCTGTTGGGGCATGAGAGGACAGGTAGCCAAGGTGTTGACCCTGAGCCCCGGAATGCTGGTTCTCACTGGGGCACAGGTGTCCCGAAGGCGACGTGCTAGAGCCAAGTCCCTTGACCTACAAACAACCCCCTACACTCTGTGTTTGTTCTTTTTCCAGTTTACACTCCTTTCTGGTCATAAACAGATGTTGTCTTATCTTGATGTTAAGTTCTTAGCTTGAACAGTGTGTATCTACTTGTCACTTCTTGTGACTGATTGTTTATCTTACTCATGCCTCCTTGTGATTGAAGTTTATTACCAACCTCTGAGATCCTGCTTGTGTGAGTGGCCTTAAAACTAGTATATAACACCCTGTGTCAGAAACAAACTGTGCAGGGCCAGGGGTTTAGCTCAGTGGTTCTGCCACCTGCTTTGCAATCACAAGGGCCCAAGTTCAATCCCTGGTGCCTAAAAAAAAGGAATAAACTTTGCCATTAGCTATCAGCTTTTGGTCATTCATTGTGTCCCCTCCTCTAGAAGGAGACCTCAACAGTTCCCTTTCTCCTGGCCACTCTAAATGGTTATTTCCTTTCCTAAGGATTTTTAAAAAATCAATCAGAGAAAGCACAAGACATCAGGAACACAAATGAAAAATCCCCAGTGCTCACTTCGGCAGCACATATACAAATGAAAAATCCCCAAAAACATTCCAATGAGGATTATTAAATGAACAAGATAATAATTCTAAGACTACCATAATGAAAGTCTCCATGACAGTTTCAGTGGAACTCTACATGATTGATCTATAAGGTAATTAGTTTAGCAATGAGTTAGCAAGAATAGGGCCCTGGCTATCACCAACACTGGAAAAACAGGTGACAGACAGACAGTAGATAGAAAAATATCTTACAACTTCTGAATTTATTTATCACTCAATTTTTCTACTTAAAATTTTGTAATTTCTAGGATTGGTATATATCTCACTGGAAGATGTATTAGGTTCAATCTCCAACACCAAAAAAAAAAAAAAAAACAAAAAACCCTTGTATTTTCTGAAAATAAACTAGAAAAATGACATAATGGAGTACTCTTCTCACTCTCCCTCTCTATATATAAAAATAGTGATCAGATCATTCCCCATATATGTTCTTTAACTTAGAAATTGTATCTATAATTAACTTAGTTTGATCACTTACTATACTCTTAGTTCTTTTGATTTTTCTTCTTCTTCTTGCTGTCCTTGCTATTTTGCAGTGCTAGAAAACAATCCCAAGCTCTGTGTATATTAGCCAAACCTTCTTTCACTAAGTCACAGGCTTAGTCCATTCCACAGTTTTACACATCACATTCCCGAACTAAGATTTGTCATCAATAACTCAGGACTTATTTAGCAGAGCACCCTTTTATCCAAAGTCTTTCTCAGTGCAGTGTGGACATCTTTGTTTTTCAGACTGTAGATAAAAGGGTTCATCATTGGTCCCAAAAATGTATAAAAAATTGAAGATACTTTATCTTGATCCAGAGATATAGTAGAAGGCTTAAGGTACATGAATGCTGAAGCTCCATAAAAAAGAGAAGTGGCAATTATGTGAGAACTGCAGGTACTGAAGGCTTTGGACCTGCCCCTGGCAGATTGGATAGAGCAGATATTGGAGAGGATAAAGGTATATGACATGAAGATGGTGAGACTAGCCACTGTTATATTGACACCCACCACAATGAAGACAACCATTTCATTGATGGAAGTACTTGTGCAAGAGAGCTGCAAGAGAGGAGGTATTTCACATAGATAATGATTAATGACATTACTGTCACAGAACGTGAGTCTAAGCATGCACACAGTATGGGCCATGGCACCCAAGAAGCCCATTGCATACACACCCGCTGTCATCATGAGGCAGACCTGTTGGGACATGATGACCTTGTACAGCAGGGGCTTACAGATGGCCACATATCTGTCATAGGCCATTGATGTCAAAATATAGCATTCGTCAATTACAAAGAAAGCAAAGAAAAAGAGCTGAGCCATGCACTCAGCATAAGAGATGATGTTCTGATTTACAAAACCCATCAACACTCTAGGAGTTACGACAGAGGAGTAGCAGAGATCGATGAAGGATAGGTGGAAGAGAAAGTAATACATGGGAGTATGAAGGTGAGGATTGAGATAAATCTGAACAATCAAGCCCAGGTTCCCCAGCATGGAGACCACATAGATTCCCAAGAAGAGGAAGAAGAGAGGCAGCTGGAGCTCTGGCTGTTGTGTCAAACCCAGCAAGACAAACTCAGTCACTGAAGAGCCATTGCCTGAGGCCATTCTTCCCTGTGGCAGTTCTGTGGGAATAAGAGAAGTAGTAACATGTTTACATTAAAATGAGATACCAGGTCTCTCCTCCCAACTCCAGGATAAACAGATTGACATTCACAAGGGAAGAATAAACTGATGCCCACCTTTTCATTTGCCTTTATTGTCATCATTTTAGAAGACAGAGAGAAGGTATAAAGAAGACTATTGAGAATGATGTAGAAGGCAATTTCAGGGCCAGGGATTTAGCTCAGCAGTTCCGCCAACCCACCTGCTCTGCAATGGTAAGGTCCCAACTTCCATCCCCGGTACCAAACCCTAGAAGGCAATTTCTGGAAAGATGGATTTTAGGAAGCCTAGAAGTGCTCTCAGTTCTGCAGCATCTCTGATCCACTTCTGCCTCAACAGTCCCCTCCCTGCTCAGGGTCAGTAGTGATCTCAGGGCACAGGAGGTGAGGCATTTCAAGAGCTCACTGAACCCTTGGGTTTGCAAGAAAAATGGCAGAAGAGATGCAATTCAGCACTCACCCTTTGGCATCTTGGCTTCACGGAAGGATTTATTAACTCTCCCCCTCTGTTTTCAGAGTGGCAAGTGGATCTGATGAGCTTGAGAAAATAGAGTCCAGAAAAGCAGCTTTGCTTTTGTTTTAATTGCTGTTGCTCAGTAAGAATTTTGGACTGAGCATCAGAACACAGCCCACAATCCCCCATCCTCTAAGCAGCCATGAATTGTCTATCATGATTTCTGCTGCTGACTTTGCCCAGTATCCTCTCCAGCCCAGGTAGCAAATATGATCCACTGATGACAAAGAACCACCTGACAGTATGACCGGAGGGGATTTTATGAGTTCAGAACCCCTAGGGTCCTGATTAAAAAATATGAAGACCTGTTTTTCCTCAATATTTTCTCCAGAGATCAAGCTTAACAGCTAAAAGAGATGACATGTGCTGCATTCACATACAAATTAATGATAATGGCATTAGTTTATTGAAGTGATACCATTTTACATACATTTTTATTTCTTTCCAAATGGGGACCTCTCTGTATAAAATTGCAAGTCAACTTGCCCTGTGTCCACGGTGGATTTTACTTAGTACCTGTGACTACCTGAGATACTATGTATTTGTTTTTGCTTGTAGCATATTCCTTCAGAGCATAGACTCCCACACATTTGACTCTAACATCCACAGTGGCAGAGGTCTTGTCTGCTTTCTTCAGAGCTATTTCTACGTCTGAAGAGCAATCTGTGGAACTTATAGTAGGTGCTCAATGAACATATGTATAATAAGTGGAACCCTTTCACCTTCTTCCTAAAACATACCCTGGATGATACACAAACCTTCTTGCACAAGCTGTCAGAAAGGTCCCAGTGCATCTTCCCACCTGAGAGCAGCACAGAAAAGGATCAGAAGGTCGATTTAGATCAGTGCAGTGCAGGGAGCTCTCAAATGCCCAGGCCCTGTTCAATTCAGGTGGGAGGAGTTTGGGAACCACTCAAGGGTTTTATATGTCATTTTGCAGAGGTTTGAAATAACCTCAGTGCTGCTTTAGAAGCATAATATTCAACCACTAGCTGGGATGAGTGGACTTAGAGGTAAGGTGAACTCTGGGAGGCAACTGAATGAAGGATTCAGTGAGTGACTCAACAGAGAGAAGGAAAGGAAGAAAGAAAGAAAGAAAGAAAGAAAGAAAGAAAGAAAGAAAGAAAGAAAGAAAGAAAGAAAGAAAGAAAGAAAGAAAGAAAGAAAGAAAGAAGAAAGAAAGGGAAGAAGGAGGAAGGAGAGAAAGAAAGGGAAGAAAGAACGAAGGAAGGAAAGCGGGGAGAAAGGGAGGGAGGGAGGAAGGGAGAAAGGGAGAAAAGAGAAAGGAAAGAGAGACAGGGAGACAGAGAGAAAGAAATAAGAAAAACTTCCCTGAATTAATGTCACTGCTACAAGTGGCTCCAAGAAAAAATCCTAAACTGGAAATATTGTAAGGGAAGATTCTGCTGGATTTTTCACTAAGGGCATAAAATTAAGCAATACAGTATTTTAGTAAGTTTTAGTGGGCACCCAAGTACACGTGTACAGTAGAAGAAGGCTCAAGAAAGGCTAAGTCATGCTCAGGTGAAACATCAGACCATGAAGAAAACATTGGGGTCCCTTCCATAGGTGATAAAGGAATGAGTTAGTGAAACCAGTGGAGAAAGCACAAAGAAAAATAACAGAGGGAAAAAAATAATTTAGAAATCCTCCAGTTGTACATTTCATACTTAAGATAATTGGAAACCCAACCATCTAGTCCCAGTTATTCTCAAACCCCTCAAACTACTAAAGGACTAAAAATTCTTCAGGGAAAATTTGAAATACATCTCATAGAACAGGCATTCCTTGTAGGTACAGTGGTGATGAGGACTTGGTGATTCATTAAAATTTGTGTTTTCTATAGAAATGGTTAGAGCTTGTATTCAGGTGATACAATAATATAAAATGCTCCCTCTAATTTCACATTATAGCAGATCACATAGGGAGAAGGCTTATGTCAAGTTCTAAGGTAGTGCTCAAGATGAGGACCATACATCCACCTTAATGCCACCAGGATACAGAGGGCTAAATATGTTAAGAAAGTATAGACAGTGAGTGTGCTCTTAAATTACAAAATGATCATCCCCTTGCTATTTTTGTTTACATAATGGAAATGTTAGTCTAATTCAGCTATAATCAACTGTGTTCTACTTTTCACTGAGCTATGCCACAACATTTTAAAGCCCAGTGTATCTCACCTTGTCAAAGTAAGAGGTAATTTAAGACAATATGCCTTATTCTACACTACATTTTTGTAAAAATGCAGACAAAAAAAATGTACATTTACAATAAATGGACTTTTGATTTTCAGAATTATGTCACACTGGGATAACCTGTTTCAAACAGAAACATTGACACCCTAGCTCCATTTCTGAGCTGCGTTCCTGGGCCTTTGTATATTTATTTATTTTACTTGAGACAGAGTGTCTCTAAATTGCCCAAGCTGGCCTTGAATTTGCAATCCTCATGCATCAGTCTCCTGAGTATCTGAGATTACAGGTTGGTACCTCTATGCCCAGGTGGTTCATATATTTTAAAATATAAATTAATTGTAATTTCAGGTGATAAAAATAAAGTTAAATTTTCAATTTCAAGGCAATAAAACATTAGATAGAATTTCATTTCATACATTTAGGGGAAACTGAGGTAATAACTACTATTTCATTTTATCATTATTTTCATTGAGACATGGCATTTACACATCTTTATGAGTACAATAAGTTAATTCAATACATGTGTGCATGTGTAATAGCCAAATTAGGGTCTTAAGCATTCTCATCTTTTAAACCATAAATCATCTTTATGTACTGAAAATTTGTACAGTACTCTTCTACTTATTTTTTCTAGTCATTTTTTAAATATACCACAGATTGTTTCAACCAGTAGGTTCCCTAATCTCCTAAAGAAGATCCAGGAATAATTTCATGCTAACTGTGTTTGGTGCTCTTTATTGAACTTCTTCCCATTTTCCCTCACTCCTGCATGTCTCAATCTCTAACAACCACTAATCTGATCTGTTCTTGTACAAGAATAATCACCAGAGATTTAGCTCAGTGGTTCAGCTGCCTGCCTGAGAAGCACAAGGTCTCCAGTTCAATCCCTGGTACCAAAAAGAAAGAAAGAAAGAAAGAAAGAAAGAAAGAAAGAAAGAAAGAAAGAAAGAAAGAAAGAAAGAAAGAAAGAAAGAAAGAAAGGGAAAGAAAGAAAACAAGAATAATCTATGAGTTTCTACAAATGAGAGAGCATATGTGATATCTTTTTTTTTTGTATCTGGCTTATTTCATTTAATATGAGCCCTCCATTTCCAGCCATGTTGCTAAAAATTTCAGGATTCTATTCTCTTTATGGGTCAATAACATTCCATTGCATCTATACACCACATTTTAATTCATTCATCCACCAAAGGGCATTTATTTTGATTCCATATTTTAGTTATTGTGAAGAGTGCTCCAATAAACATTGGAATGCAAGGGGTTCTGCTTTGGTTGGGTTTAGTTTGGGGCATAACAAGTTTGTCTCCTTTTGATATACCCAGTAGTGGAAGTGCTACATGATATAGTAGTTCTAGTTGTAGGTTTTTGAAAATCTCCATATAGTCTTCCAGAGTTCCTGTACTTATTGTCATTCTCACCAGTACTGTACAAGAGTTTCATTTCTTTATATCCCTTCCAGCATTAGTTTTCTGATACTTGTTATTTTTTGTTTGTTTGTTTTTGTCTTTTAGATTATAGACATTCTGACTGGGCTAAGATAATATCTCGTTGTGGTTTTGATTTACACTGCCCTCATGATTAGTGAAATTGAGTGGGTTTTTCCAAGTACTGGTTGGCCATTTTTATGTCCTCTTTTAAGAAACAAATATTTCTTAGATTTTTTTTTTTTTTGTCCTGGAGAGTTTTTGTCCACTTTTAAATGGCACATACAATTTTACATGTTTGGGATATAGGGTGACATACAACACATTTATACAGGATATAAGATCAGGATAATTGGCATATCAATCACCTCAAACATTTCTAATGTTTTGATTAGGAACACTTAAAATCCTTTCTACTAGGTATTTAGAAATACACACTTGTGACTATAACTGTTGTCAACAGTAATTATTCTACTGTGTTGTGAAACATTGCAAGTCATTCCTCTTATCCAACTGCACCCCATTGACTGTATTTTTCATGACAGTTTATATTTACAGAAAAACTGACAAAATTTACAAAGAGATCCCATATATCTCTCCACACATTTTTCCCTAATACCACAGATTGTTTTTGTATGACTATGCTGCGGGCTAAACCCAGGGCTTCACACATGCTAGGCAAGCATTGTATCACTGAGTTATATCTCCAGCACTGCCCCAATACCTAGATCAACATTAATACAGTCATCACAATGAATGAACCAATGCTGATTTAACATTATTAAAGAAAGTCCATAATTTACTGGGATTTCCTTGATAT